CATTGTACCGCTCTGGGGCATGTCAATCTAATCACCGGACAGAAATTGGGAAACGACGCAATCAGTCCTCCAATGTCATTATAAATTCTGCTTTGCCAAAAAGGAAATCGAAAGAAAAAATGTCTATGGGTACTGCTTTTGTGGGGAAGCAGTGTCTGGTACAATGTTACATACAAGGCCAGCTTGTTGATGTATTATGGGATACAGGGTCTCAAGTGTGTATAGTGGATGAACTGTGGAAAAACAAACACTTACCTAATATCAGACTGAGAAATGTTGCAGAGCTAATTGATGCACCTGAAGGACTCTGCCTTGTGGCGGCAAACGGACAGGACATACCTTATGCAGGGTGGATGGAAGTGACTTTTGGGTTGGCATCCAATGAAGTGAAAACAAAAGAACTGATCATACCTGTGTTGGTGATGAAGGGCAGAGAGCTACGTCATCCTATCATTGGATACAATGTGATTGGCTGAGTTAATTCCTTGTTGTTCACTATTTGCTCAATCACCAATGAATCGGTGGAGAGAGAAAAAGTTCAAGCTTTCATTGAGCAAGTTCATGCAGAAACATCGTGTGAATATTTAGTCAAAACAAAAAAAGAAAATGTTCATGTGCCCAAACACACATCAGTACAAATTGAATGCAGAGTACAGTCACATCAACCAAAAGTAGATACATTGCTACTTTTTGAGCCTGACGTTAACCCACAGTGGGCAGAGGGGTTGGAGTTCTGTGAGATGATTGTAACCCTGCGACAACACGCATCTCCCCACATAATTGTCAGTGTACAGAATCCTACGGATCATGACCTACTGTTAACAGGCAAAATGGTCATAGGCACAGTGCAACCTGTACAGGCAGTGTATCCAACTGCTACTTGTGAGGGACCTGACTTAACTTCCGTGAGGGTCAATCAAATAACAGATGAAACCGGCCATACCTCTGACATCGCATGGGAACCACCTCTGGACTTAAGCCATCTTAGTGAGTCCAGAAGACACATTGTAAGACAGATGCTGAGAGAGGAAGCAGCTTCCTTTTCGAAATCCGATGATGACATTGGCTGCATAGATGGGCTGCAGTTGACTATCTCGCTAACAGACTCTACCCCAGTCGCACGCACTTACCAGTCAGTACCTCGTCCCCTGTACAAAGAAATAAAGGATTACCTACACGATCTCATTGCCCAAGGATATGGGTTAAACAGTCAAACTCGCCGTATTCCTCACCAGTGGTCTGCGTCCGGAAAAAGGATGGTAGTTTGCGGTTGTGTATTGACTACAGAGAATTAAATCGGAAAACAAACCCTGACCGACAGCCCATTTCACGTGTTCAGGATATCATGGACAGTCTTGGAGGAAACAGCTGGTTCTCACTACTTGACCAAGGAAAAGCATACCATCATGGTTTCATGGCCAAAGAGAGTAGACCCATGACAGCTTTCGGAACACCATGGGGGTTGTATAAATGGATTCGCATCCCTTTTGGTCTGATGAACGCTCCAGCAGCTTTCCAACGCTGCATGCAAGAGTGCCTGAAGGACCTCAGATACGATTGCTGTGTCCCCTACCTTGATGACACGCTAGTGTTCAGCAAATCCTTTGAAGACCATGTCAATGATGTGAAAAGAGTTCTGCAGCATTTAAGGCGATATGGGATCAAACTCAAGCCGAGTAAATGTGAGATGTTCAGGCGGGAAGTTCGTTACCTGGGGAGGATTGTGTCCGCGGAAGGAAGTAAAATTGACCCTGCTGACACCGAGGCTGTGAGAGCCCTGAGAGAGAAAAGACCCAGCACGGTGGGACAGTTGAGAGCCGTACTTGGCCTGTTAAGTTACTATAGGCAGTACATCAAAGATTTCTCCAAGATCGCTGGGCCGCTCTATGACTTTCTGAAAGGAGAAGTGGAGACAAAGGGCGAAAGATACAATGGAACCACCACCAAGTGTACAAAAAACAAAAAGAAAGGAGTGCCTTCTCAGAAGCCCATTTTATGGACAGAAAAATATCAGCAGAGATTGGAGAAACTAATAGACTGCTTGGCAGAACCTCCGGTCCTTGGATTTCCTGATTTCTCGCAGCCGTTTATACTCCATACGGATGCCTCAAACCAGGGACTTGGTGCTGTTCTGTACCAAAGGCAAGAGGGGAAACTCAGAGTCATTGCTTATGGATCCCGTACACTGACAGCCTCTGAAAGAAATTATCATCTTCACTCAGGGAAATTGGAGTTTCTAGCCTTAAAGTGGTCCATCACAGAGAAGTTCCGTGATTACCTGTACTACGCACCCACCTTTACAGTATACAGCGACAACAATCCGCTTACTTATGTACTGACCAGTGCCAAGCTCAATGCGACTGGATCCAGGTGGGTTGCGGAGCTCGCGGATTTCCATTTCACCATAAAATACCGCCCTGGCAGAGAAAACATTGATGCAGACAGCTTATCCAGGATGCCGCTGGAAATTGGAACCATGATGGAGCAATGTACAGAGGAACTCTCATCCGATTGCGTTGAAGCAACCATACAGGCTGTAGAAGTTCAAGATCCTGCCATGTCGTGGACAGCCATGAGTTCGCTTTATGATCCGACGGAGCGTGCTGAGTCAGGCCAGTCTTTTTCCACCGATGAGGTACGACAAGCGCAGGGGAGTGACACCCACATTGGACCTGTAGTACAATGTAAGAGGGCTGGTGAAAAACTCTCCAGACACTTATTAAGGACATTCAGTGCACAGGGTAGAAGTTTGCTGCGTCAATGGGACAAACTATGCATTGGAGAGGATGGAATACTCCGCCGGAAGACAGCTACCCGATCTCAGCTTGTGCTGCCTGAAATATATAAACAACGTATCCTGCAGGAGTTGCATAGTAAAATGGGGCATCAAGGAGTGGAGAGGACGACGTCATTGATTGTAGACAGATTCTTCTGGCCCAAAATGCAGGCTGAAATTGAACATTTCGTGACCAAGAGTTGTAACTGTCTGAAACAAAAGAAACCAAGTAGAGAAACCAGAGCACCACTAATGAATATTGTCACCACTCACCCATTTGAACTCGTTTCCATTGACTTTTTGCACCTGGACAGGAGTAAGGGAGGGTACGAATATATCCTGGTGATAATTGATCACTTCACAAGGTTTGCGCAAGTGTACGCCACCACATCAAAATCTGCAAAAACTGTCGCTGATCGAATATTCAATGACTATGCACTGAAATTTGGATTTCCCCAAAAGATTCATCACGACCAGGGAGCAGAATTTGAGAATCAGTTGCTTTACCAGTTAAAAAAAAGACTTGTGGAATTGCAGGATCGCGAACAACCTCATACCACCCGCAAGGAAACGGACAGGTTGAACGTTTCAACCGGACATTGCTCCAGATGTTAAAAACCTTGACAGAAACAGAGAAGTCCAACTGGAAGGTGTCATTGAATAAACTTACTTTTGCCTACAACAGTACGCGATGTGAGGTTACTGGATTTTCACCATTCTATCTCTTGTTTGGGAGAGATAGACTACCTGTTGACTTGCTCTTTGGATTAACGGCAGCGAAAGGGACTAACAACCATAAGGAATATGTAAAGAGATGGAGGCAAGGAATGCAGGAAGCTTTTGAGATTGCCAAAGAAAACAGCAAGAAGACAGCAGAAAGAAACAAAAGGAACCATGAGGGTAAAGTGAGGAACTCAGTGTTGCACCCAGGAGATTGTGTTCTGGTGCGAAATCTCACACCCAGAGGAGGTACAGGAAAGCTTCGCAATCACTGGGAAGATGATATACACACAGTTATTCGTCGAATGGGAGAAGAAAGCCCTGTTTATGAAGTTAAGCCGGAGCGAGGAAAGGGAAGATCGATGGGTTCTTCATCGAAATCTCTTGTTACCGTGTGATTACCTGCCAATGGAAATGGAGATCAGAACGCAACCAAAGACAAAGAGAAAAGTGGATGAACCTACCTCTGTAGAAGGGGATGATTCTAGCTCAGAGGAAGACGATGAAGGATGTAGTCAGTGGTACTTACCTGCAGTCCAGTCTCAGCAACCTGTGGAAGGAAACAGTGAGTTAGAAAACAGAAACTTACCAGTTATCTGGCCCCGTGAACCTGAAACGGAAAGGATCATGAAACAGAAGTTCGAATGGGAAATGAGGAGATACCCCAACAGAAAGTTGATGTGCTGGAGGAGGAACAAGCTGGAGGAAATTCTGACGATGCAGCAGATAAAGCCCTGTGGGGAACTAACAGTGAAGAAGAACAGGAGTGTAGATTGCCTAAGAGAGAGAGGAGACCACCTAAGACATTCACCTATGATTACCTGCAGGGTACCCCTGCATGCTATAATGTAGAGCAAATGAACACAATAGCGTTTCAATCCACGCCATATGAAATGCACAGCATGACTCCATGGACTTACCCAGCATCACAGTATCAGCCAGTATACTTTTACCCATACAAAGACTTATATGCACACTGAAAAGAATGGATTAGAGAGAAAAAAAGCAGTATTAGGAGGACAAGAGACTATGCAGTCCCCTACACATACCTTTATTGATGAACTGAACATACAGTTAACTTGCAGTGCATACATAAGTTAGACCATTTGCACATAAAACAGCACCACCTAAAGAAAGAAAGTGAAAACAAAGTAATGTCGAGACGACATGTATTTTCGAGGGGGAGAGTGTGGTGGTTACAAAAGGAGATATGTAATTGTAAAGAAATAAGTAGATAAACAGTAGAAAATATATATATGATATGTTAGATGTGACAACAAGAGAATGTATTTCTGGTACATGTTTTTTTTTGTGATTATTTCTGTGACGATTAATGTTCCCTGCTCTCGTTCGATTATTTGATTGCTTTTGCCTTTTGGGAGTGTTCGCCTGCTTGACAGGGAGGGGGCTCACGCGCGCTGCTCAAACAATACAGACTCTGATAAGTGAAGCAGCAGCAGCTCCGTGTCCTGTATTCATTTATACATATTTCTCCCCTCATCAGGCGGTGAGGGTACTACACAAGCAAAGAAACTATCAAGCACAAAGTTGAAGGTAGATTAAAGGAGCAAAACGCAAGTATCTGAGTTTTTGCAGAACTACGCCCCCTCTGGCGACAAGCGAAACTGCGTGCGCACTCACACACACACATACACACACGTTTGCACGAGCTGTTCATAACCAAAGGAGCATCAGCCGCACACTGTGCGGCACACATCTTTTGTTACAGTCATAATGAGGTAATACAGTTATAAATCTGCAGGTCATTTAAAATATATGAAAGGAAAGGCATTCGAGTACACGTGTGTGTGTGAGGGGAAAACAGGGGTAGTAGAAAACTTCGGTTTTTGTTTCCATCTATCTCCATATTGAACTGTTTTATGTGCTTACTGTATCCATGTATGATTGTATAATTATGGAAACACGTTCATGAACAATATAAGTTATTACTTTGTATAGGACCCGTTTGAGCCCTAGAGCAGACCGGAGATATCTCCGTTTGTTGAAAGCCTTCCCGATGTTGACTCTCGTCTTATTCCGACGAAATCCATTACAAATCCGTCTCGAATGCGTTTCGGAGGGCAACCTGGGGCCTCATGTATAAACGTTGCGTACGCACAAAATGGGCATAGAAATATGCGCACGCATTTTTCCACGCGCACATCGGGATTTATAAAAAATAAACTCGGCGTAAATAAGTGCCCACCGTAAGGATGCTCTTGACCGTGCGTACGCACTCTTTTAGAAGAGTATGGGTTTTGGCGACACCGATGGTGAGCTGGAGTCAAATGTCTTTTTGCTTACTATTAGACAGAGAATCTAAAGAAAATTATACATCTACAGAAAGATAATACAAATATAATTTCACAAACCTATCATCACTTGCAAACATCCATCCCTTCTTAAATGACCGCGCCAGCACGCGCGTTGGGCCGTTTGGTGAAACTGACGCACATATAGCCTATAATCTAACGGCAGATGAAGTAAAACCGTAAATCTTCATTATGAGTCCAAATCATAAATACAGTCCATATTCACAATAACAGTTTAAATAAATAAGAGAATGGTTTAAACTATGTTTTACTTCTGATATAAACATTTAGATTAATTATGCCATTAAAATATGAAAAATATATATATTTTCATAAGATAAAATATTTTAAATATGAGTTAAACTCTTAAACTACATGAAATCATTACTGAAAAGTTACAATATATATATATATATATATATATATATATATATATTCAATAAAAAGAAATAGACCTATTTGTTGTGGATGCATTGCTTTTGAACACTTTTCTTCTGGCATGCTGTGTTTTAATGTTTTAACAAGAGATTGTCTGAGAAAACTGTTTCGTGCAAATAATGCACAACCATGTCTATCTCTTTCCATTAAAATACAAATCAATTAAAAATACTATTTGGCCAGTGGAAAAGATTGAGAAAAACTTTCTCTGAAATGTATTTAACACTATTTGATTTAATCATTCAAAAACAAGGCAAGGATATAGGCCATTAAAACAAAATGTTTGTAATAATGTGACGGCACATCCGCATTTCATATTTTTCTAACGTCTTGTACCGTTAAACTTGGTATCACGTGGATGAATAATCATATGCAAATGATATGCAGATGAGGATATGCAAATTTAAACTAGGCGTTGTAATCTCCATATATGGTTATTTCGGGGAGGAGACGCACATGCGCATAATCTTCCGCTGACTGGGATTTATAAAGTGAATTCTGCGCAGGTTCTGGCGTACAAATTCTGCCTTATGTGCGTACGCACACTTTAAGGATGAAATCTACGCAAAGTTTTATACATGAGGCCCCTGGGGCCTCATGTATAAACGTTGCGTACGCACAAAATGGGCATAGAAATATGCGTACGCATTTTTCCACGCGCACATCGGGATTTATAAAAAATAAACTTGGCGTAAATAAGTGCGCACCGTAAGGATGCTCTTGACCATGCGTACGCACTCTTTTAGAAGAGTAGCCTGTGGGTTTTGGCGACATCGATGGTGAGCTGGAGTCAAATGTCTTTTTGCTTACTATTGACAGAGAATCTAAAGAAAATCTACAGAAAGATAATATAAATATAATTTCACAAACCTATCATTACTTGAAGCAAACATCCATCCCTTCTTAAATGACCGCGCCAGCACGCGGCGCGCGTTGGACCGTTTGGTGAAACTGACGCACATATAGCCTATAATCTAACGGCAGATGGAGTAAAACCGTAAATCTTCATTATGAGTCCAAATCATAAATACAGTCCATATTCACAATAACAGAATGGTTTAAACTATGTTTTACTTCTGATATAAACATTTAGATTAAATATGCCATTCTCATTAATGGAGTTAAACTCTTAAACTACATGAAATCATTACTGAGAAGTTACAATATATATATATATATATATATATATATATATATATATATATATTCAATAAATAGAAAGACCTATTTGTTGTGGATGCATTGCTTTTGAAAACTTTTCTTCTGGCATGCTGTGTTTTAATGTTTTAACTAGAGATTGTCTGAGAAAACTGTTTCGTGCAAATAATGCTCAACCATGTCTATCTCTTTCCATTAAAATATAAATCAATTAAAAATACTATTTGGCCAATGGAAAAGATTGAGAAAAACTTTCTCTGAAATGTATTTAACACTATTTGATTTATTCATTCAAAAACAAGGATATAGGCTACTAAAAAAAAATGTTTGTAATAATGTGACGGCACATCCGCATTTTATATTTTCCTAACGTCTTGTAGCCTACAGTTAAACTTGGTATCACAGGAATGAATAATCATATGCAAATGATATGCAGATTAGGATATGCATATTTAAACTAGGCGTTGTAATCTCCATATATGGTTATTTCGGGGAGGAGACGCACGTGCGCATAATCTCCCGCTGACTGGGATTTATGAAGTGAATTCTGCGCAGGTTCTGGCGTACGAACGGTTTTATAAATCTGAAAACTTTTGTGCGTACGCAAATTCTGCCTTATGTGCGTACGCACACTTTAAGGATGAAATCTACGCAAAGTTTTATACATGAGGCCCCTGGGGCCTCATGTATAAACGTTGCGTACGCACAAAATGGGGATAGAAATATGCGTACGCATTTTTCCACGCGCACATCGGGATTTATAAAAAATAAACTTGGCCTAAATAAGTGCGCACCGTAAGGATGCTCTTGACCGTGCGTACGCACTCTTTTAGAAGATTATGGGTTTTGGCGACACCGATGGTGAGCTGGAGTCAAATGTCTTTTTGCTTACTATTAGACAGAGAATCTAAAGAAAATTATACATCTACAGAAAGATAATATAAATATAATTTCACAAACCTATCATCACTTGAAGCAAACATCCATCCCTTCTTAAATGACCGTGCCAGCACGCGCGTTGGGCCGTTTGGTGAAACTAACTGACGCACGTATAATATAGCCTATAATCTAACGGCAGATGGAGCAAAACCGTAAATCTTCATTATGAGTCCAAATCATAAATACAGTCCATATTCACAATAACAGTTTGAATAAATAAGAAAATGGTTTAAACTATGTTTTACTTCTAATATAAACATTTAGATTAAATATGCCATTCTCATTAATGGAGTTAAACTCTACATGCAATCATTACTGAGAAGTTACAATATATACAGTATATATATATATATATATATATATATTCAATAAATAGAAATATACCTATTTGTTGTGGATGCATTGCTTTTGAACACTTTTCTTCTGGCATGCTGTGTTTTAATGTTTTAACTAGAGATTGTCTGAGAAAACTGTTTCGTGCAAATAATGCACAACCATGTCTATCTCTTTCCATTAAAATATAAATCAATTAAAAATACTATTTGGCCAGTGGAAAAGATTGAGAAAAACTTTCTCTGAAATGTATTTAACACTATTTGATTTATTCATTCAAAAACAAGGCAAGGATATAGGCTACTAAAAAAAATGTTTGTAATAATGTGACGGCACATCCGCATTTCATATTTTCCTAACGTCTTGTACCGTTAAACTTGGTATCACGTGGATGAATAATCATATGCAAATGATATGCAGATGAGGATATGCATATTTAAACTAGGCGTTGTAATCTCCATATATGGTAATTTCGGGGAGGAGACGCACGTGCGCACAATCTCCCGCTGACTGGGATTTATAAAGTGAATTCTGCAGGTTCTGGCGTACGAACGGTTTTATAAATCTGAAAACTTTTGTGCGTACGCAAATTCTGCCTTATGTGCGTACGCACACTTTAAGGATGAAATCTACGCAAAGTTTTATACATGAGGCCCCTGGGGCCTCATGTACAAAGACTTGCGTTGAATTCATACTAAAACATAGCGTACGATCAAAGCTGTAAATGTGCGTACGCACAAAAAAAAACAGATGTATGAATGTCTGCGTACGAAGGATCCCACGCATATTCTCTTTGTACATCCCAATTAACGTAAAATTGAGCGCACATGCACGAGCACAACGCCCCACCCAGTCTCCTCCCTCAATTAAATTAATTTAAATATGGTAATAGTCCAATTTGGCAAAAGAAACCTGCAAGGAAATGGCTAAAGAAACCTGCAAGAAATGAAATTCCACTGAAAATGTTTTCTATGTGAATATATGTGAAATTGTCATTTATTCCTGTGATCAAAGCTGAATTTTCAGCATCATTACTTGTCTTCAGTGTCACGTGATCCTTCGGAAATCACTCTAATATGATGATTTGATGATCAAGAAACATTTATGATTATTATCAGTGTTGAAAACAGCTGTGCTTCTGCTTCATATTTTCATGGAAACCGTGATATAGTATTTTCAGGATTCTTTAATGAATAAAAACTTAAATCAAACACATATAGAAATCTTAGCCTATAATCGTTTTTAACATTATAAATGCATGTACGGGCACTTTTAAACAAATTCAATATGTCCTGGCTGAATAAAAATATTACTTTCTTTTTTTTTTACCTTTACTGACCGAAATAATGAAGTTTATTTTTTATTTCCTAGTAA